AAAAAAAAAAAAAAAAAAAAAAAAAAAAAAAAAAAAAAAAAAAAAAAAAAAAAAAAAAAAAAGAGCACTTCAGGTGCAGTAAGGAAGGATAACACTTCAGGATGTCAAGGAGTGTGAGATATGGTGCAGTGTGGAAAATTCTCCTGAATTTTACCGAGGAGTTCATCTTCAAAGCAAGTTCCACCTAATTTGAGGTGGTTCAGGCGAGGCAGCACTTGCAACAAAGCRATAACAGTACCAAGGGAGACCAAATCATAGAGGTCAAGGCACAGGGTCTCCAGGTGCTCCAGTGTCACAATAGCAACCAGCCCCCTGTTTGTCAGGAAGTAGGCGTTGCTGATTTCCAGGTAGCGGAGCTGCTTCATGTGGCGCCCGATGAATACCATGGCAGCATCACCGAGGATGCAGTGGCGTAGGATCAGGCGTTCAAGCTCTTTCAGGTGTGGAGCTGCCGCTTGGATCCCCATGTCAGTGATSCGGTAGGTGCCACAAAGGCTCAGTGTCTTCAAGTGGTTCTGTGAGGAAATGTCAAGAAGGTGATGGTCAGAAAAGGTGGGAACGCTGTGGATAGCGAGRTGTTGTACCTGTGGTGGTGGCACCGAAGGGGAGACGCAGAACCAGGCATCGGGGATGTCGCAGAGACTCAGCTCCAGTGTGGTGACAGAAGAGGGCATGCTCTCGTATGGGACATGGCGGAGGTCTGTCTCGGTCAGGCACAGCCGATGGAGCTGGGGACAGCGCTTCCGAAGRGCAGCCAGCAGAGCCGGCGAGAGGAGCCGCTGCTTGCCGCCGGAGCGAGGCACGCCCCGCATCCGCAGGGTGCACAGGCTGTCGGGGAGGCGGTGGCGCACCAGGTGCCAAAGGGTGCGGCGGGTGATCTGCGGGAATGAAAGGGCCTAGTTCCAGGGGACGGCGTGGGGAAGGGCACCCCTGTGGCAGCGGGGTGATTCCCCCATTCCCCACGCTGCTGCCTGCCGTGGGGTGACCTGACCCGCCCGGTGTCACAGTGGGGTGATGTCGCCTCCCCCCTATGGTTCCTGTCCCCAGCGGAGCTATCTCCGCGCCCCGCCCCGCGGTGTGCACAGCGGCCCGTACCCGGTGAGGACTCAAATCCACATGTGTCCAGACCGCTCGGTCCTGCGCCAGCTGCTGCCACCGCCGGCACACCCTGCGGGGAGGCGATCAGCCGTCAGCGCCGGGTCTGGGGTCGGGGGCGGCCGGTCCCGCCCGGGGGGACCCTACCTGGCCGCTCGCAGCCGGTCCCGCAGCGGCAGCAGCGCCAGCACCTGCAGCAGCACCGAGTCGGGCAGGGCCGCCCGCTCCGCCATCGCGSCCGTTGCTAACAACAAACGGGGGCGCGGCCGGGGCGGGGCGGCAGTTCCGGGGCTGCCCCGGGCCTCGCTGCCGGAGCGGAGCGGCCTTGGCAAGYAGCGGGCGGCCCCGGGAGCTCCGCTGCGCTCGGGACCTTCCTGTTTAACCCCCTTTCTTACCCACAACCCCCTCCCGGTGCCTCTTCGTTCCTTCGCGTTAAGCCCCGTTATCTCACCCCGTCTCCCCCGCTCCACGGTGCCTCTTGTCCCGTGTCATTCCATCCCACCCCAATGCTGCTTCTTTCGTGGCACTGTCTCCCTTGGCATTTTTTGGTGCCTTATCGCTGACCATTGTTGGTTCACTTGCTTTTCCTGACATTTTGTTTCTAATGCCCTTGTAGTGTTAAAGTGACTCCAGCTCACATAATCTCCTCTCTGAATACCCAGCAGGCCATTGCAGGATGGAACAGCTGTCATGACTCTCAGAGAAGAGCCGGAATGTCAGCAGTGTGGAAGAAGAGAATACAAAGTAATAAACTCAACGCTGACCACAGGAGGATGCTTGGAGCAGGTAACACCTACTGTCCCTAGCTCTGCAAAGCTTCATTGTCCTCTGGAGGACGACACATTTCCCCAGACAGCACTTTGGAGTTGTCTGCTTGGTTTTTTCCCCTCTCTCTCACCTCTATGGATACACACTTTTGTATTTTCTCTTTATTCTGGCACCCCTTGGCCTTCACAAATGCACCTTCATGACAATGCCAACCTCCTTGTTCCCAGACACACTTTCCAGTCTCTTCCTTAGCCCAAACTGAGTGCTTTTTGCYCACAACTAACAGTGTCTGAGCAAAGATCTCCTTTATCCATGTCCAGAAGTTTTGCTCCATTTGGTGGCAGGTTTCTGTGATCTTTCTTCACATCCAATGTCTAGTTGGAATAGGAAGGGAGAAGCTTGAAGAGACTTCTATTCCTATTGTAAACTTTGAGTTCTTAAACCTTTTCTTCATCAGTATTTAAAAGTGATTTTTACCACTGCAGAGTGCCCTTCCTTGCCTTTGGAGTGGTTCAGATGGTGTTTCTCTGTACAGTGGTTTTTTTTTTTGTTTGTTTTTTTTTGTATTTTATTACACTTTATATTTTTTCACTTTTCTTGAGTGTATTCAGTCATTGAGGGCCTAGAATGCTTTGTCTGTTTAACCCTTGGAAGGCTCCAAACAGCTATGAAAGCAATGCTGTTTGTAGGCCTTCTTGGAAAAGTTCTCTAAGAAATCACATTTGTTTTGTAGTCTAAAAAAACCCAAATGTATGATATTCCAAAACACAAACAAAATTCCCAAAAATACATTTTGAAGCTCAAACTCTTGTTTTGTGACCACATACATCAAAACAATTCTACAGAATGAGGAAGTCTTTTCCAGTCTTGCTGAAAACACTGTTCAAACTGTTCACAGAATTGAGTTTGTCTGCTCTTGATGTGATCACTACCACCTCTGTGCCACTAGAAAATGATATGAATAAGTGATGCCTTTTTCAGTGGAGGAAGAACTTTTCATAGTACAAGAAAAAAACTGAGATTATCTTGTGAAAGAAATTAGTGGATAGTATTGAAATGACCTGGTGATTTTGGGTGCTCAGTGAATGCTGGTAGATGCTGGCAGTGAGACATGCTGTACATTGATTCAGAACAAGCTTTTAAAGTTACCAATGACCAGGAGAGAGACTTAGTTTTTTTTAATTAACTAAACATTTTATAGACTATTAAGTTGGAACTATTAAAAAATGTTATTTAGACCTCTTGCCATTGCACATTATCAGTCTCTGAATGAGACAACTGGACAAAGTAGATCTTTGGAATTTATTCATTTGCTGATGAGACCTTGACCATATGAGGATTGAGTTTACAGTCAGGATTAGAAATGGGGGTAAGAAAAAGGCTTTTGAATGGGCAAAATCTTTATTCTCTAGATACTGTGCAACACACAGTTTAAAAAACCCACAGTTCAAACTTTATTTCATGGGAGTGTCAGCCAATGCTTTGTCTTTGCCCTGTTTCRTAATTGAATCAGTTGGGAGAGTGTGGTAATCCTGATCACAAATTTATTTTCCTGTTAGAACTGAACAGCCCAGGGTGAGCTATTTCCCAAATACTGCATCAGCTGAAAAACACTTTCTCAGTTCACTTTATCAACACCTTCATTCATTGTCAGCATAAGAGCTTTGGGGGTGCTTATGGCACGGGCACGGTCAGTGGTGCCTGGGCTCGTTTCTGCACGTGTGGTACAGCCTGAGGAGTCAGGACATGGAGTCTGCACTTCCTTTTGCTAAGTTCTATTCATATAAAAAATGGCTGTTTAATCAAATTATGGTTTTGGGCAGTTCAAGAGTTGAAAAATCCTGGTTTAAGATTAAAATAAATGCATTGAAAATGTCTGTGAAGGAAGCAATAAGGCTTTATATAATCAGGATGAGCATGAGGAAAAGGGGAAATCCTACCTAATTCTAGTAAGATGGGGGAAATAGTGAATGTTGGGAGATTCCAAAGATGCTCTAAAATGTATTAATGCAAAATTGAAAATTCCCTTTCATGTGGCAGAATATCTACAACTATTACTGTTTTCCAAATAAATGTCAGAGGATTAAGACTGATAAAAAGATATTGATGTATTTCTGGTTTATCACTGACTTGAATAAAAGTTCAGGTTATGTAGGTGTGTTGGTTTGGGCTGGGGTAGAGTTAACTTTCTTCCTGGTGGCTGGCATGAATGTGTTTTGGATTTGTGATGAACACAGTGTTGATAATCTAGAAATGTTTTTGTTGTTGCTGTCACACAGAGCCAAGGTCTTTCCTGCCCCTTGTATGGCCACACTGGGGAAAGTGCTGGGAGTGAATGGGAAGTTTGGAGGGGACACACCCGGGACAGGTGACCCCAACTGACCCAAGGGATATGGGGACCTTGTGGCATCATGGTCAGTATATGAAGCTGGGGGGAAGAAGGATGAAGAAAGCTGCTAAGCTGGGCAGGCTGCCCCAGCACCCCAATCTCCCCCTCTCCCAGGGCAGGTGTTTCAGGCTTCAGCCTGCATCCAGCAGCAGGCTGCCCCYGGTGCCGCTGCCACCTGCCCGGTGTGCCGAGAGCCCATCGGGGCCATCCGCCTGCTGCAGGGGCAGGACAACCGTGCCGGGCCGGCCCCACGTCGCCGCCGTCGCCTCCATCCCTTCGTGCTGCGGTGGCGGCAGCGGCAGCAGCAGCAGGAGCGGGAGCAGGAGGCTCCTGGAGGTCGCCGGCGCCGCACAATCCCTGATGGGGACAGGGCGCCGAGCCCCGTGCCCCGCCAGCGTGCCCGCAGACAGGAGGCGGAGTTGGGCACAAATGGGCTGGGCAGGAAGATTCCTTGTGGCCACCGAGGGAGTGGAGTAGAACAGCTGGCATCAGGAGAGACCATGTGCACCTCCTCCCCGTGATCCCCTCTGCAATGAAAACCGGGATGGTGAGAGGGGCCTCGCTGGCTTTTTCTGCCACTTTGCTCATTACCGCAGGACTGGAGCAGTGGGAGCTGTGGGAGGGGGAAGGACATGGCTGTGGGATTTTGGGAGAGGGTGGGGTATGGCTGAAGAGCTGGAGGAGAGGGATGAATGTGGATGTTGGAACTGGAGGAGAGAGGCCATTCTTGATTGCTTCTCTGCCACTTTGCTCATCCTTGTAGGGATGCAGCTGGGAAGTGGAAAGGGGAAAGAGAGAGATGGAAAGGGAAAACTGAAAAATGGAAAAAGGAGAAGRAAGAGGGAAAGGGAAGAGGGAGAGGGGAAGGGAAAAGAGAAGAAAAAAGAAAGGGAAAGAGGGAAAGAGAAAGGAATAGTCCCCTGCGACTCTGAGCAGATCCTCAAGGGGCCAGTGCCTGCTTTCCTGAGGAACAGGATGGGTAAAAGAGGTAGAGATGGAGGCTTGGGGCAGAACCTCCTCTCTTCTCATCCTCCTGCACACACTTGTACTATGGACAGCTGCAATCCCAGGAAAAACTCTCCAGGCTGGGGGAGGCAGCCCTGGCACAACCCTCGTCCAAGGGGCTTTCAGCAAATTCTCCCCTCCTACAACAAAGCATAACCTGCGCTTGCACTGGGGCTCTGCTGCTGGGTGGTGTAGGCTCATCCCTCTCAGGAGAGCTGGGTGTCAGCCTGCACTGGAGCCAGGGAGGGATTGAGAGGCTGACTGTAATGGATCCTCGCCAGCTAATTGTTGTTTATAGGCTTAGATCTGCTGCTTCTTAATTTTATTCCAGCCCCTCGATTGAATTTCTCACATGTAAGTGAGCCCCACGARTCCCTCCTGGCCATATATAATGGATGGTGGTGGAGGGAAGGAACACAAATGTGGCTGAATGCCAGTAACAGCTGCCCAGGCAGCGGAGCCGCAGATCCCTCTGCTGAAGGTCCCCATGGCCAGAACCTGCCCTCATTACCCCTGTGCAAGAAGCTTCCTCTGTCCTCAGCACCTGGCCTGGGGCCATGACCAGCCTCGGCCATTCTCCAGGAGCAGGACAAGGCTTGGAGCTGTCACCAAGCCACTATCTCCAGGAACAGCGCCAGTTCCACCCACTGAGCCCCGGTGCTGCCACTCGATGCCCCATCAAATATTAATGCAATGCTCAATGCCTCTGTGCCCTGCCCCAGCACTGCAGCCCTGGCCCGTGCCCTCTCCAGGGCTGCCCGACCACTGAAGCCTCCCCTCCTGGCCCGCATTGCTCACTGCTCCCCACACAGAGACTTTGGGGGTGCAGCTGCACCACCCCTGGGTGTTCCCTGAGCAGGGCAGGACAGGACCCGACCCCCTAAACTTCGGCAGCCAGCTCAGCCCCCTGCAGCAGGTAAGGCMCCGCTGGGGCTGGGGCAGCGGGCACCCCCATCCCCGAGGAATGCCATCCCATCAGCCCAGGAGTGGGAGGACCGGCTGGGGACACGGGATGCCCAGACAAGGGCTGGTGGCCATGGGGCAGCCGCGGGCTCGCTCCTTGGCTGCAGGGGCRTTGTAGCGCACCCCTGGGAGAGCAGGGATCCCTCACCTCCGTCCCCTCCCCTGAAGGAACCGGATCCACCTGCGGGTCTCCCCCGAGGAGGGTTCCCCGCAAGGACCGGGGTGATGTGTCGGGCCACCCCTCGGCTGGGGGTTCCCTGGGACCCACCTCTCGTTGCTGCCCTCCCSCAGGAGGAGCCCGCGCCTCTGCCCCCAGCAGCCGCCCGGCCCGGCAGGGGATGGAGCCCGGCAGGTCGGTGCCGGCGGAGCTGAAGCTCCGCAAGCCCTCGCAGCGGGCCAGGATCCCGGCGCCCTTCCTCGCCCATCCGGTAGGTCGCTGGCTCGGCCCGCGGCCCCCGGCTCGTCCCCTCGGCCGCCGCGCCCCTTCGAGCCCCCCGTGACTCTGTCCGCACAGGACGGGGAGCTTGGGCCGGTGGGKCCCCCCGGGCCCGACCCGGCGGAGGTGGACGCGGAGTCCCTGGTRCCCACGCACGACGAGCGGGGCCGGCTCATCCCCGAGTGGAAGCGGCAAGTGATGGTGCGGCGGCTGCGGGCYCGACTGGCGGACGACGAGCCGGCGGGAGGGCAGGTACGAGGGGCACGGGGAGCAGAGGGGGCGCGGCCGTCGGGAGTCGCTGACCGCCTCTCTCCGCAGGACGCGACCTCCTGGAGCTTCTCGGCCTCCCACCAGGCCGTGCTGGGCCCCTTCGGGGAGYTGCTGACCGAGGCGGACCTCTATCAGTTGGAGCGGGCGGTGGAGAGCCTGCGGCTGCGGCGGCGCGGCGAGGTGTACCAGAGCGAGCTGCGGCGCCTGGTGCGGGAGTTACGCGCTCTCCTGCCCGCCCCGCTGCTCAACATCTCCCTCCGCAGCCCCTCGCCGCCCCCCGGGCTGCCCCTGCCCCAGTGGTGCGGCCGCCTGGCCGTGGCCGTCAACAGCCTGGCCGCGCTGGTGGCTCACGCCGAGGAGCTGCGGGAGCCGCTCGCTGCCGTCACCGCGCCCGCCGCCCCCTCCGCTCTCCCCGCCGCCSCCGGGCAACCCCGGGAGCCTGGGGGCAGCCTGGCGCAGCGGGAGATCCGCCAGTGCGGAGTGTGCGTCCGCAGCCTGCGCGGCGCCTTCGAGCCCGCCTGGGGGGCGGAGGGGAGCGCTCCCACCGCCGGCGGCGAGGCGGAGGCCGCCAGCGACTCGGGCATCAGCTGCGAGGAGGCGTTTTCCGACGGCTTCCCGATGCAGGGACAGGGGCAGGGGCCAGAGTGGGGCAGCTTGAGGAAGGAACGGATCGTGATGCTCTTCCTGAGCCACTGGAGACGCTCCGCGTACGCGCCCGTGCTGCCCGCGGCCGGGAACCCTCGGGAAGCAGCGGGCAGCGGGGCGCGGGGGGCGGCGCGCCTGGCGCGGCAGAGAGCGGCCATCCAGAGGCTGCTCAACAGCTGGAGGGACGCCGCCTCCCGCCGCCCCCCGCCGCCGCCCCCCGCCCGCACCCTGCTCTCCCCGGAGCAGTTCGTGTCGGCGGCGGGGGGCGGCCCGGTCGATTACGACAGCCTGTCGCTGGAGCTGTTCATGCTGGGCTATTTCCGCATCTTGGAGCAGGAGCTGCCCCCCGAGGAGCGCCGAGGCCGCCACCTGCTCTGTTTCGAGGTGTTTGAGCAGCTGGGCCGGCACGGCTGGCGGGCTGTGCGCGCCTTCCACCGCGCCGTCATCGACGAGATCGCGGCCGGGCGGCGCGGCTGGCGCGACGGCTTCGACGACATCAAGGCTCGGTTCTTCGGGTCYCCGCGGAGCCCGGCCCAGCGGCGGGGGCAGGCCCGGGACGAGGGAGAGGAGATCTGCCGCTACATCGACCGCAGCTTCGCCTTTTGGAAGGAGAAGGAGGCCGAGATCTTCAGCCTGGAGGAGTGATGCCGAAGGGGCTGTGGAGGCCGCGGGCTGCAATAAAAACTTTCTCGGTTCTGTCCCAGCTGAGCGAGGCTTTCCGGGGCGGTGAAGAAAGCTGCTGAGCTGGGCGGGCCGCCGCAGCACCCCAGCCTCCCCCTGTCCCAGGGCGGGTGTTTCAGGCCGCCGAGTGAGATAACAGCCTATATTTACAGCGGCTCCGGCGGTCCAAGGCGGAGGAGGGAGGAGGGGCATCGCGGGGACCCCCGGCTGCCGATGGGGTGGCGGGAGGGCGCTGCGGGAGCTCGTCCCTCCAGGCTCGGTGCCCAGCCGACTCCTCGCGAGGGGGAGCCTTTCCTAAAGGCAACAACGCCGCGGGATGGGGCAACCACGGGGACGGGCCCGTGCGGTGCCTTTAAGAGCGGGGAGCAGTGTCCAGGTGCCACCTAAAAATAGCGCGCGCCCCTGGTCGCGGCTGATCCCGTGTCATGCGGCGTGTCCCTCCCTGGCCAGCCGCGGGGCCGGCCGGGCTGCGCGGCACTGCTGGCAGCGGSGGCGAGCGCGCCGGGAGGGCCAAAATCACCCCGAAAATCGCCCCCAAAGGGCCGGTSGCAGCCCCGGCAGGGCAGCTGCGGCGCGGTGAGGAGAAAACACGGCCGCGCGTGGGAGGGGGACTGCGACAAGCGCCTGTGCAGCCGCTGCTGGCCGTGACTGGGGCGCGGGGAAGGCAGGAGGGTGTCGCGGCAGGGGGAGAGGGAGACGCCGGCGCCTTTTCCGAGCAGGGACACCCTCGCCTCCCTCCGCTCGGGCACCGCCCGCCTGCCGGGCGCCATCCCCGGCACCATGGTGAGGAACGTGGACGACTTCGACTTCTGCCTGCCTTCGCACGCCCAGGGCGTGTTGGAGGGGCTGCAGCAGCTGCGCACCAACCCCAAACTGGCCGACGTGACGCTGGTGGCGGGCGGGCGGGAGTTTTTCTGCCACCGCGGCATCCTGGCCCTCTGCAGCCACTACTTCTATGCCATGTTCTCCGGTGACTTCGCCGAGAGCATYGCGGCGCGGGTGGAGCTGAAGGAGGTGGACCCCGGCGCGCTGGAGATGCTGCTGGATTTTGCCTACACGGGGAAGGTCACCATCAACCAGGGCAATGTGGAGGSGCTGATGCGGACCTCCAGCCAGCTCCACTTCCCCGCTATCCAGAAGGTCTGCAGCCGCTACCTCCGGCAGCAGATGGACGCCASCAACTGCCTAGGTATCTGTGAGTTTGGTGAGAGCCACGGCTGCCCTGAGGTCTCCTCCAAGGCCTGGTCTTTCTTGCAGGAGAACTTTGAAGCCGTGTCTCTTCAGGAGGAGTTCCTGCAGCTCTCCAAGGAGAGGTTGGCTGTCTACCTCTCCAATGACCAGCTGCAGGTGCAGGAGGAGCGGAGCCTGGTGGAGGCTGTGCTGCGCTGGGTGCGCCACGACCCGGGGCCCCGAGCCCAGTTCCTGCCGGAGCTGCTGGAGCTGACCCACCTCGAGTCACTGCCTGACCAGTACCTGCAGCACCTCCTCRCCAGCGAGCCCCTTGTTCGTGACTCAGATGCCAGCAAGGCCCTCATTGCCCRATCCCGCACCATGGTGGGTACCCCCTTCCCCTAAACCTCACTCCCTGAGCCGGGCAGGAGGATCCTGACGGCCCTGCCCTGGTGTCAGCAACAGGGACAGAGTGGCACCGGTGCCCTGAGGAACCCCCCAGCCCCACCCCAGAAGCTGGAGGAGGTGCTGGTGGTGGTTGGCGGCCGCGTGCTGGAGGATGGTGAGGATGAGGAGAGGGGGCTGGAAATGCCGGCTGCCACCAGGAACTTTGCCTTCTACAACCCCAAAAGCAGTAAGTGCTCCCCGCTTCCTCCATCTCCCTCCATGTTAATTAACCATCTGTCTACCCCGAAGCCCCCTCTTGCTGAATTTGTGACAGTTTAGGGAGACACTGTTTGGCTTGGGCTGGGGTTGAAACAGGGGTGGCTTAAAAAGTGCCATCGCTGGYTTTTGGGGTCATTGCTTGGTTCTGCTGGGTTTCAGGGCAATGGATGGCTCTGCCTGACTTCCCTGATTACAACAAATGGGGCTTTTCCCTGGTGGCTCTGAACAACGATGTGTACGTCACAGGTCAGTGCCAGGGCTGCTGCTGCAGGCTGGGGGCTTCACAGAGCAGGGATGGAGGACAGGGGACAAAGCTGTGAGCAGGAGGCACTGCTGTGGGGCCGGGGGCTCCTCTCTGAGCAAAGTCCTCTCCTTGCTCCCTGCTTGGGCAAATCTGGCCTCTGGCAAGGAATGCCCAGGGACAGCTGCACTTGGAGAGGGTGGCCCACCTGAYCTGTCTGTCTCCAGGTGGCTCCCGGGGGTCCCAGAATGACACTTGGTCAACGACACAGGCCTGGTGCTTCTGYCCCAGGGACGGTGTCTGGCAGCCCATCGCCTCCATGCTGAGAGCACGGACAAACCACACCAGCGCCATCCTCAACGGCGAGATCTATGTCATCGGGGGTGAGGCTGCAGGWGCTGCCAGGGCGGGGTCTGTGCCCTAGGGCAGCGGGGTGGCTGCAGTGTCCTGTCACCCTGCAGGGACGACAGTGGATGTGGTGGAGGTGGAGCGCTATGACCCCTACAACAAGAGCTGGTGTGCSATCAGCCCCGCCCTCAAGTACGTGAGCAATTTCGCAGCCGCCAGCTGCTCGGGGAAGCTGTACCTGGTGGGATCCTGCGCCGTCAAGTACAACGCGCTCACCCTGCAGTGCTACAACCCCGTTCAAGGTGAGGGCTGACCCTGCTGCTGCACCCACCGTGCTCAGAGGGACTGAGGGGCACCCTCGGGCAGGTGACCCCTGGACTGTGAGGTGGTGCTGTGGGATGTGAGCCGGTGCTAAAAGGGTGCGGTGGCTCTGGCAGCACGGACCTGAGTCGCAGGATCTCTGAGGCACCGAGGCCGCCTGCCTTAGGGACAAACAACGCCCTGTGACAATGCCACCTGTTCCATCCCACAGCACCACTACAAACGGTGACCCCATCCCCCACTGTTTCCTGTGCAAGACCCTCAGCCGGGATGGGGGCTGTGGGTGCCGGTCTGCCTGGCTGCTCTGCCTCCTCCCCTGCCAATTCCCCCTGAAATAGCCACGCTTTTTCCAGCGCCTGGCAGCTGCACTGAGAGCCAGGGCTGGGATGCACTGCTAACCACCGCTCCTTGCAGATCTGTGGAGTGTGATCACATCCCCGTTCATCCCCAAGTACCTCTCAGCCCCTCGCTGTGCCACTCTGCGCGGGCTCATCTACCTCATCGGCGATAACACCAAGAAGGTCCACGTGTACGACCCAGAGGCCAACATCTGGCAGAAGGTAGTGGGACGTGGGAGCAGGCACRAGCACCCTCCCGGGGAGATGGGGATGGTGTTCCCACCTGCTCCCCTCAGTGCCAGCACCCCGCTCATCCCTCGGCTCCAGCAACACCTGCAGAGCTGAGGATGCCCCATTCCTTCTCCCCTGCTCCCCCATCACACATGCACTGGGCACAGGGGCCCCCAAACCCCACAGGGAGGATGGGGCAGGGAGACACCTCYCAAGGGTCAGTGTCCTCTGTGGAGGGAGCAGGAGGTCACCGAGGAGCCCCTGCACGTCTCACCCTGCCCCTCACACAGGTGCAGCTCCTGCACACACTCCATGAGAACGGTGGGATGGTGGCACTGGGTGACCGGCTCTTCGTCACCGGCGGCCACTGGAAGGGCATGGACGGGGACTACCGGGTAGAAATGGAGGTGTATGACTGCGCCAAGGACCTGTGGACGTGCGAGGGCTCCCTGCCCTGCCTCTGGCTCTTCCACAGCTCCTCCTCCATCTTCATAGACACCTCCAAGTGGACAGAAGCTTTCCAGAGTGACCATGGGTGGTAGCAGAGCCCAGTGATGCCTGTCACCCTATGCAGCCAGGCTGGCTGGGGCATCAGGAGCGTGTTCTCCCCCACCACTGCCGGGAAAAGGCTTTTCCTTATAAACATGCTTTGGTTAATGTTCTCTTTTTTTGGTTTGTGAGTTTGTGGGGTTTTTTTAGAACTGCCTTTTTCCCCTCCAAAATCCTAAAACTTTCAGGGTATTTCAAGGTTCCCAAAATGTGGTTCATCCCACCAAAGCCTGACATTGCTCCCTGGGGGCTTTCCAGCAGCCTGTGCACAATCCTGGTTTCTGTCCTGGGATACGCAGTGTCCATCCCMCGGGGAAGTGACCCATGGTAGTGGTGAAGCGTCCGGGTCACCTGCTGGGGCGGTGGTTCTTGTCCCAGCCCCCGTCTCTGACGGTAGCGGTGGCAGAGGGATGGGGGGCACCAGACGGCGCTTCCCGGCCGCCTGGGCCCGCAGCCAGCGCCGCTGCACGGTTCCGCTGGGTATTTCGGAATCGTTCAAGCCACTCCGTGCTGAGGAGCCCCGGGGCGGGGTGAGCACCTCCCGCTCCCCACGCGAGGTTTTTGGGAGGTTCCCGGGGGCAGAGCCCCGCAGCGAGGCGGGGCCGGGCCGCCCTCCCGGGAGCGGCGAGGTTGGGATGCGGCTGCCGGAGCTGTGCCTGGCGCTCCTCTGCGCCGCGGGCACCGGCACCGGCACCGAAACCCCGCGGGTGGCAGCCCCGGGAGCGGCTGCGGGGCGCGGGGAGCGCAGGGCGGCCCGGGTGGATCCCCGGCAGGCGTGGATGCTGCTGGCCGGGAGCCCCGGCACCGGGAGCGGCCGTCGGGTCCGCGGCGGGCCGGGGGCTCCCTCGGCACCAGCGGGCGGCGGCGCTCCGGGAAAAGCGCCCTCGGCTGCCGGTGGGACAGSGGCTGTCCCGGCCGCCCTCACCGTGCCGGAGGAGCTGCTGAGGGAGCTGCAGCTCCTGCTCACAGGTACCGGGCTGGGGGAGCCGGGGGGAGCTGTGAGCATAGCGGGGCTGCGCAGCAGAGCCGGGAAAAGTGAAGGTTCCTTCCTAACGTCAAACTCCGGTGGGGTTTGGGGTCAGGCACGGCAAAGATGTGCAGGACAGCTGGGGAAGGGTGTAAGGAAGAGGAGGAAAGCAGCAAAGGCACCCCCCAGGCTGGGGCCCAGCGTCGTGTGGAAGCCGCTTTCCATTGCCAAACGCGTGAGGACATCGCTGTGGAGCAGAAAATGTGGCAGGAACTGGGGCTGTTCTACATCGTAAGTGCCCAGCCTGCCCTTTCCCTGTCTGCAGGGGCAGCCGCCCTGGCACAGGGACTCCCTTCTCTAACTCCAGCCCTTCCCGACCCCAGCCTGAGAGGGAGGGGATGTTCCACCGCGGCCCAGGGCTGAACCTGACCAGCGGGCAGTACACAGCCCCGATTGCAGGATACTACGCCTTCAGCACCACGCTGCACATCGGTGAGCCCTCGGGCAGCCCCACGGCCCTGCCGGGGAGCGCCGGGATGGCTCTCATGCCCCGCTTTGTCACAGCGCGCAGGGAGCCGCGGAGGAAGGGGCCGGCGTGCCGGGGGAGCCGCCTGCGGGTGCTGATCTGTGTGCAGTCCCGCTGCCAGCACAACAGGTACGGCCGGGCAGAGCCGGGACCCCCGGCCAGGGAGGAGGGAAGGAGTCCGGCACCCCTGGGGAAGGAGAGGCGTGCTGCCCCCAACGCTACCCTCCCTCTTCTGCAGAAATCTGGAGACCATCTCCCGGCTGGAGAGCAGCGGTGACCTTTTCACCATCTCTGTCACTGGCACCCTGTACCTGCAGGTGAGTGGTGCCAGCTCCCCTGGTGACAGTACTGGGCAGGAAGGTGCCTTCCGTGGCCCTAGCCCGGGGCTGGACATCAGGTCTGCTGCTCAGATGACCGCCAAGGCCCAAGGATGGGCAGGGCAGAGCTCTTGCTAGGGTACAGACTGTGGCTGGGCTGCCCTAAAGAGCTTGTGATTTTTTTTTTCCCAGAAGGAGGGTAGGGGCAGCTCCTCCAGCTCGTGGTTGTGGCGTGAAGAGAGCTCTCCTTGGTTCTGCCGTGCCATGCCTGGTGCCCTCAGGGGAGGCATCCCAGGCCCGCTGATCCCTCTTTCCTCCAAGCCGGGCAGTGTCCGTTTTCACTGATCCCTCTCTCCCCCAGGCCGGGCAGT